GGAATCCAGGATAGATAAACTCCTCAGGACCAAAAATGAGAGGAGTGATACTAGGAAGGTAAGGGCAAGGTGGAGGGAGGAAGGGGGAACCTATCACTGTGTCTACATACAAGCTCCTCTCTGGGGGACAGACAACAGAAAAGTGCATGAAGGGAGACATCAGACAGTGTAAGGCATGACAAATAATAATAATTTATAAATAATCAAGGGTTCGTGAGGAAGGGAGGGTGGGGGGGGAAGGGGGAAAATGAGGAGCTGATACCAAGGGGTCAAGTAGAAAGAAAATGTTTTGAGAATGATGATGGCAACAAATGTACAAATGTGCTTGACACAATAGATGGATGTATGGATTGTGATAAGAGTTGTCTGAGCCCCCAATAATATAATTAATAAAAAGAAAAGATAAAGAAAATAAATGTCTAGGGGAAAAAAAAGATGGAGAAGTTTTGTGCTTGCACAAGTTGCTACTGGTATGTAGAATTTTGTTGTCTATCAAACAGATATGTACTCACATTGGACCTTAAAATCACCCATCTCACTGCTGAGAATGCTGACGCCTTAAAAGACTAAATTACATGCTTTAACTACTAGTGTCTATGCAGGAATTAATCTAAGATGCCAAAATCCCTATTATTGCCACTCCACTATTCTGTTGTAGAATAACCCTTCTGTGTATCATAGGAAATAAAAGAGACCACAAAACTCAAACATACTTTATGGATAATGTTTATTAAGTCTTAAAGAGGACAAAGACACATCATCTGGATAAGGGAGGCCATCAGTACAAGGTCATAGTGATTTTGGGAAAATTTACAGGCTCTGAAAGACATAGGAAACTGTCACAGAAGCATGATTGGTGACACAGAAAAACATCTCAGTTGTGGGCCACAAGACAGAAGTGTAATGAGACTATGTTTGGGAGAAGTACATCAAGCTAGACAGAAGAGTTTACATGATTGGGACAGGGCTCCCCTGACCAAGGGAGCCACGGCATGACTCACGACTCCAGTATCATAGACACCATCTACAACACACCTAGGCAAGTCCTTAAGGGACACTGCCCCTCCTGGGCTGGCCGGGGGAGTGGTAGTAATACAATTTCAAACACACTGGGCCTGAGGGCAAATGCTATACACTTTGCCAGTAAAAGGCCAGAAGGAGATTTTAAAGGAGGGTTAATGCATTTTACTGTAACTGTAGCCTTCTGAGAACCTAGAGCTCAGAATTTGAGAGTGAAAATAACAACAAACAAAAGCTTGTGGAGCTTGGTCCGGAGCAACAAACGTCAGGGGAAATCTTTGTGCACTCTGTGTCAGCCTGTGGCTTCCTTGCACCAGGTGGCCTGTGGCTTCTGGAGTTGGTTCCGATTTCTAGCAACCCTCTGTTCTGAGACAGCCTCACAATTGCTGCTATGTCTGAGCCCACTCGTGCAGCCACTGTGTCAATCCATCTCATGGAGGGGCTCCTTTGGATGTTGTGGTTGACCCTCTACCAAGCATGATGCTCTTGTCCAAGGACTAGTGTCATCTAATAAAGTGTCCAAAGACATGTGAGACAGCACTTGCCATCATTACGTCTAAAGAGCATTCCGACTACTTTTTCCAAGACGGGTTTGTTGATTCTTCTTGCAGCCCATGGCACATTCAACATTCTTTGCCAAACACAACTCAAATGCAGGGGTACTTTTTTAGCCTTCCTTCTGGTCAGCTGTCACATGTGCATGACTGAATGTACTACAGCTTGGGTTTGGCAAACCTTAGTCCTCAAAGTGACATCTTGGCTTTTGAACATTTAAAAGAGGCTTTTACGACAGATTTGCCTAATGCAGTGCATTGATTTCTGGACTGCTGCTTCCATGGATGCTGATTGTGGATCCAAGTACAATGAAAACCTTGCCTTCGAGCCTGTCTGCACTTATCATACTCTTGCTTTATTGGGCCAGTTATGAGAAGAATAATTCATCAAGCTTTCTTCATCTTGGTTTGAAGAAATAAAAGGAGGTGGAGTTTTGTCTGAATGTAGTTCCTGCCTGTTGGCTAGAGTACCCGATTTCAGATATTGTTTTGAGCTGTCAATTAGAAGAATGGCTTAATTGTAGTTAGTGTTAAATGAGCCAATACTATCTTAAAGTTCTATGCTAAATCCTTAACCATTTTCAGCAAGGACTTTGGACATATCTCAGTAGTTGTGTTCTTGCTCTCTTTTTTGAAAAAGTGGCACACCATATAGAGGTGTTTACCCAGCCCCTGAGACTTCCTCACTCGCAACTTGTTTTTTAGAGACAGTGATTTTTTTTTCTTTCCCGTTTTTTGGGTCTTATTGGGGAAGTAAGCTTGTGACACCCTCTAGGAAAGACCTGAAGAGGTATTTTACTTTTTTTTTTAGGGGGGAGGGTGGTCTTCCCTCCCCACTTCGTCCACCCCACGGGTAGTTTGCTTTGCAATATTTGCTACCCACAGTTTCAACTCCGTGGGCTGACCCTCCCAGGTTATCTAGTTTGAAACAACATTTGTGAAAGTGAAGATCTGCAAACCTGGGCAGACGGACTTTCTCGTGAAGTACAGTTATGTTCCCTCTCATGCTTGTTCTTAAAAACAAGCACAGAATCCAACAAAAAACGGTTTTCACCGGAGACGCGACCCGCGGTGTGTGTGTGTGTGTGTGTGTAAACACTAACATGCCCTTCAGTCCTCCAACAAGCCCCGCAGCAGCACGTACGCTCACCACCTAGGAGGTGCGCATCTGCTGCCCAGGGCTGGCCAGCCAGGCTCTGACACTTCCCTGCAGTGTGGCACGGCGTCCGGCGCGCTGGGTGAATGCCAGAGGTAGGTGTCGCTGGACGCTTGCCCCAGGAAGGGAGCAGCAGCAATCCAGCCCAAGGGCTTCTGTGACTGACTGGGGGCTGGCGGCTGAGACCAGCACGGGACTCGCAGAGAGGGCTTCCTGCGGTCGCGACCAGCTCTGGTCCGCCGGACTGAGCCACCCGGCGCTCCGGTGCGGGGCCGGGGAGCAGGCGTGGGCGTCGCCGCGCTCCCCCATTGTGTCCCCCTGTCCTTGAAAGCCCTTCCCACGAGGTCGTTTGACACCCACGGCACCCGCGAGAATTCCGGAAGGGAGACGCTCACCCGCTGCGGATGCAAACTCCAGCTTTCCGAAAGGCCCTTGGCGGCTAGCCAGGGCGCGGGGAGGCGGGCCGCGGGGGAGAGGGGAGGCGGCCCGGGAGGGGAGGCGACCTGGGTGTCGTCCCGCTAAGGGCGTTCCTGTCGGGTGGCTGCGGAGGTGGGGCGAGGGCGCGGCTCTGAAATAGGGCGGCGGCGCCCGGCCCGCGCGCAGTTCCGCGGGCGGCTGGCACGCTGGAGCCGCGTGCCCGCAGGGATCCTCGC